CAGATTCATCGTTTACAGTTTTAGCCTGCAGTTAACTTATATTTCTGATTTTGTGTTGCTAAACATTTTTTTTCCAGCTGTTGGAAAATTCTGAAACAGAATTTTTTTTGATAAATTGAAATCGTTTGCCTTGTGGTTATTAATTTCAATAATCGGCTATTGCAATTGAATAAAACTTATACAATTGGTTTCATACACTAGCGACTTGTTTTCCTACACTTATTTCAGATTTTATATGAATTTAATCCAATTACAAATCACCATACTACACAATATTGGAAAGATTGGCATAATAATTTAGTGGTTACCTCTTGTAGCCATAAAATCGTTATAGGTATGAATACCTGTTTGAGATCTCCATCCGCACTCTTTAAGCTATGGTCAAGATTATGAATGAGGAAAGTTATATTAGAGTTTTCATATAGAAAAGAGATGACCAGACCTAGCTATTTAGCCACAATGGGTGACATCGGGGTTGACACAACACACACACATGGGGGGTTGAGATTATTTTATTCAGGCAGGACCCACTTCGACATGTGAGGGCGCGGTCATCCATTGTGTCAACCATGATGTTCATTTGACATTTTCCTTCCAATAAAATAAATGCCAATCAACATTAGAACAACCAACCATTCTCCCACTTTGTGCAACGTTAATAGTTTCAAATTTTTTCGAAAACAATTAATTGAAAATCACCTCTGAATATGATCCAATCCAATGTACTTAGCAAAGATTTAATCTTTGCCATCATGTTGTATTAATAGACATAAATTCGCATTGGATTGGGGTCATAACCTTGGAAAATAAGCTACATAATCACCCTGAAGCAAAAATGTAGAATAGACATGAGCACTCATCATCATGTGATCCTAGCTAGTATCAAATCTATGTCGGTCAACTTGACGCATCCAAAGGTGACAAAAAAATTTCCCACAGAAACACGAGAGTAATACCTCAAGATATCTCCTTAACGTCTCAAAATATACAGTGACGATTTCATGCATGAATGACAAATTATAAGAACAACTATAGTTGCAATAGTACCATGGATCGGTAAATATAATGGTATAAACTCATAAAGATTCCAAGACCACGTGCTTTTCAAGAAACAATTGGTCTAAGTCCATTGGTGACTATTTCTATTAACATAAGTTTAGAGCTTATAAAATTTACCTGGATATGACATTTTTCACCATTTTTTAGAACCAATTAACGATCAAGTGCCCAGAGATAAATTCTTTAACTGCATAATTGATTCTCCTTGCACTACACCAAAAATCATCATTTGCAACACATAAAAAGCAACATTCGGTAGTTAAATATTGTTAAAGGAGTTTGTGACAACATTTTAATAAGCGAATGTTGCCATTAATTAACATAATTGAGTTTTGGCAACATTTTGTAAGTAGATGTTGCTAATGCCGCCTTTCGCAACGTTTAATAAACGTTGCGAAAAGTTTTAGAATAAACGTTGCGAAAAGTTAATTTTATAGCAACGTTTGACGAACGTTGCTGAAACTCGCCTTTTGCAACGTTTGTTGGACGTTGCAAAAACTTCCCCTTTGGCAACGTTAATTGAACGTTGCGAAGAAAAAAACCTCAAATTTCACCCCAAGTCCCAACAACCACTCACGAGACATACAACACAATCTTCCATCTCCACGGCGCCCTAACCTATCTTTCATCTCTCTCTCACACCCATAGTCCCACAGCTCAGCCTCTCACCAAATCGCCGATGCCAATCGCTGATTTTCCACGGTCAACATGAAGTTCAAAATTGAAATCTAACACCGATTACGCTAAAAAATCAGATCACTTATAGAAAGATCCACTAAATATGTGTATCGTTAGACCAGAGAACGAATCATTTTCGGTATTCAATCACTCCCACAACAAATCCGCCACATCCTTGAATGGAATCAGCAGTCGTATGTGTGAGAATTTGTAGGTGAGTATAATTATAAAGAATGCTGCCAATAAATAATAATTTGTGGTAGCCATTGCAATTTTTTGATCTGAGATAAGTACAAGGAATGCGTCCTATTTTCGTTTTCTTTCCATCCCAAATAGTATTTAGTGTTGGTTGGTTGGTTGGTACGTATGAAGTGGTTTTATGTAATTGGTTGGTTAGCTAGTGAGATTTTGGCAGTAAGGATTAATGGGTTACTTGGCTTAATTCTTAGGTTTCATTCAATAAGTTTTTTGTCATTGAATGATCGAAACATGATTTCATGCTGAGGCTAGAATTCTTGTAGTAGGTAATTTGTTAATGTGTGGGCAACATGATTTTGTGCTAAGCCTGAAATGCCTTTGTGATTGTCTTGATTTGTCACAATTACGTATGTCTCAATAAAAAGGAGAAGTTTTGCTATTTGAATGTTTATTTGATATTCAGTGGTTGTTAGCTATAAACACCTCTATGAGACTCGTTGATTGTAGGCCGATCTTTCTCCAACAAGAAGTTTCTTTTTCAAGTGAGATTGATGCAAGGCTCATTGGACAGAAATTGTTCCAGTGGCAATGGTATTGATCAAGTGACATGCGACAATTTTAAGTTTAAGTTTCGATTTTTGTAGTTTCCTAATTACATTTTGGTAGTACATGTTTGGAGACTCTTAATTTTATTTTGGAAAAGATTATGTGTTGAATATTTTACAAATTTAATGAGTACATGTTTGTTAGTTTATTATTTTGGTGGTACATATTTGTTAGTTTTGAATGACTTATTTGATCACAGAACAAGATTTTTAGTAGTGTTTTAAGCATAAATTAAAAAAAATGTGAATTATCTATTACAACGTTTGTTAAACGTTGTAATAGCCTATGTATTGCAACATTTGCCAAACGTTACATTGCAATATCTTTCCAACGTTGCAATAACCTATCCATTGCAATGTTTAAAAAATGTTGCAATAGTTTGCAATAGATAAGCTATTGCAACATCTTTCCAACGTTGCATAATGTTGCAATAGATAGGCTATTGCAACATTTTTTCAACGTTGCAATAACTTGTGCAAAAGCCTATCTATTGCAATGTTTGCTAAACGTTGCAATAGACAGGCTTTTACAACGTTTTGAAAACGCTGCAAAAACTCTTACCTTAACAGCAACATCAAGTTTCACAACATATGCTAAAACGTTGCAAACTGCAAATAACTTTTTGCAACGTTTTTTGGCCGTTGCAATAGCCCTTTTTTGTTGTAGTGTTGGAGTCAAAGGCGGATTCAATGGGGGCTGCAGCCCACTGTCACCCAGCCCAGATGCAATAATTTTTTTTTTATTTTTTGTTTGAATTGTATTCAATTTAACCACATTAGCCCACCAACAAGTAAATTTAGTGGGTAGCCCACCTAAAAAAATCTTTAATCTGTAGCCCACTAATTTTATATAATTTTAGGCCCAATAATAATACCTATTAGTTAGTCCATTACTAATTTTCTTATTCTGATTTACGTGTATAATCCCCTTTCTTTTCCATTCGGCAATTCCCATTTTCCTTTGCAAAACCAATTCAAACAATTCCCAAAAATCAAAAATCAAAATCCCTAAATCTTTTCACTTTGCCCCTGCCCGTAGCCGCACCGAAATGGAACCGTCGATTGTCGACTCACTGCCAGCCTACGCCCTATTGATTGTAGTGAGTGACAGTGAGTCCGTGACCCTTTTTTCAAATCTAAATGTTAAATTGAATTTGTGTATTTTGAATAATTAGTTTCACTAAAGCCCTTTCCTTCATATAGGATTCAATGTAGAGTAATTTTTCGAGAATAATTATGTGTTTTATGTGCAGCTATTTAAAGATTTCTTCAGTTTTTCGTGCTAGATTTTACTAGTAATAGGGTGATTGGTGAGTAATCGCATCCAGATTTCTCTATAAAAATCCTGGTACAATGGATTGCCTTTTCTTTTGTGAACTTTTCCTTCTTGGTAAAATGCAGACTTTTTCGTATCAAATTTGAAATAATATCGATCACTAGAGGTGGCTTGATGCTTAAAATGGTTATTTGAAACATATTGTCTTCTTTTAATTAGTTTTGGGATAAATGTTGGTTTTTGACTTTATTTCATTTTAATTTATTGGATGCTAAGATGCTTTTGAAAGTTTAAAAGAGATTAATATTGATGTTAATTTTGCTCTTGGTAAGTTATTGTAAATGATCCGTTTCATTTTGGGTCTACTTCTAGATTATCAGAGAAGGGCGAAGAGTGGATTTGATACAAAATATGAGGTTTGAAATTGCGACTACTAGAATTAAAGCGGCCCCTGATGGCGAGTATCTAATAGCATGGTATCTAATTTTTAAGATTTTTAGCCACCATTATAGTAATTCCTGGCTCCGCCCTTGGTTGGAGTCCCAATGGACAAACTTTAGATTCAGTGATATCTCATCCACTAACTAATATAAGAATATATATGCCTATGAAGACTTATAGCTTTGTTCTCACAAGAGCCTAAGATGCATATTGCAAGAGTCCCAAGTCCCAGTGTATTTGTATTAATTGTTTCATAAAACACGATTTTTACATTTGGGCAAAAAATTATATAATATAATACAAATAGCAAGGTTTCCATAAAACTGAAAGAAACCCATAGAGTTCAATTAATGGGCACTGTGGCGGCTATCATCACATTCATCCACGAATTTCACATCGGGATATATAAGATGTCCATAATATTATTACTCCGTCCATTCCAAAAACTTGTATATAAACATCTCAAAATTTAAATTTCATATCTTAACGTAGTGAAACATTTTGAGAATGCATTGAAAGTGACGTGTACTAAACGCGCATCTGAATCAACACGAACAAACTGAGTCAATCAGCATGAAATTTCCTTGAACTACTCCAAATTACTCACTAACAAAATTTCAAATTTGTTTTAATTAATAAAAAAATATATGTTCAAAATATATATTACCAACAACCAATAAAAATAATACTACATCAATACTTAATAACAACGATTAGTTATTTTAATTATCGCATCAACCAGCAAGAAACTATTCAGTTATTTAATGAAACAAAATATAATAATCGACATGAACGAACAATAAAGTACAATGCTCAATGATTTTACTTAATACTGTCGGATCAATGTTGTACAATCCATTTAATTAACAAACCATACGACTAAGGCTTGTTCTTTATTACAACAATTCATATATATAAGAATTCCTTATAACCATATATATGAACTCTTTTGGCATTATTAATAAGTTCTCGCGCACCTCGTGGCCTCGGTGCAGCCACGATGGTATTTATTAGCGATCTGGCTGGGACGACAATTGTAGTCAGAGCCATCGAGTTTGTTGCACCGGATGTTGTCCATCCTTAATGTGGCGTAGCTAATGTAGGGCGATTTATACAGTTGCCTGCGAGTGGATTCAGATCCCAACTTCATCTCCTCATCGACATCAATTGAATGCTCAACATTTTTAGAGTTGGGATCGAGAGAATTTGTATTGTCATGTCCTGATGATGATTGTATCACCATGACCAAACCTAGGAGAAAAAGAAAAAGTAACACCACACGTGAAGTCATTTTGTTAGAGGAAATAGTAAAATGCACAACAAAGATAATCAAAAATGAAACCTTTTTCTGATATTTTATTTCCTGAGCTTTGCCTTCCAACAGTTTATACATGGGACTTTGGTTGTGGAAGCAAAGCTCATGGGTAGAGGAGACTTAGAGAAAAATGAGCAATGTGTGTGGATTTTGTGACTTTGATTGTCCTAAATTTATTATCACTAGTTGAGTTCCCACCATACTCGTGTCGATTAATACAAGTAAAATCATCATTAATTATTTTTCCAACTGTCGTAGTTTATACCATCAAAGAAAGGAGGTCTATCAAGAACTCTTATAAAATCCATCATCTAGATTTTCGAATCTCACTAAAAAGCAAGTGATTTGATACCTAGTAAAAGTTCAAAACTTAGATAACTACTAGTTATTTAATTCATATTCAAAATAAATTATCTTAATTGTTCAATCGAACTAGTTCAAACTTGTGACATACTTTAATGGACCACAGATTAAGCGAACTCATTAATCATGCAATTCATGTATACTCTGATAGTTTAGAGTAGGCTCTATCCGGTTCATGATCTAAGAAATGTGTTTCCCTAATACAACAGTAATATACCGCAATAGAAAGATTAACTCAAGCACTAAACACGCGATATAACATAGTAACCCCTAAGGAGATCATCCACCTACGAGTAAATAATTCACTACAGAAAGAGAATTCAAACATCTTGTATTCTAGTATTACAATTATTTATTGATCTCGTCACAGAATATTAATTCAAAATCAAAACTAAACAAAAACAAAATCAACTGAAAACTTGTTATATTTTGGCTAGGGCCGGATATGGTTCGATTTAGAATCGAACACTGGAACCGAAATTTTCGGGTATCTAGTAAGTGAAATCGTCGGATCCAAATTTAATTATGGAATCATTCGGGTTGGTTCCATTTGATTCACTTCGGTTCGGTTCTGAGGTTTCGTATTTTAATTAATTTTTTTAATATTTACAAAGTGACATAAATTCAACTAATGATATATTCATTCTTAGCTCTTACAAAATAACGTAATCCAATCTTATGTATCTTTTGTGTCTTTCTTTACTAAGTTCTTCATAAATTTGATTGTTAAAATTATAGAAAGAGGAAGATAGATAGCCCAAAATAATTAAGAGAGCTATTGTCGAATTTCAATTCGATTTCTTTAGAACGGTAGGAACGATGCTATGGCAGAGTAACAGATTTGGATAAAACTTAGATCAATTTGATTAAATTGATTTTGAACTGAAAGTTAAAAATAGGAAAATCATATTTTTGGGTTTGAATTAAATCAACTAGTTAGCAAATTTATTTAAAAAAATAAAATAATTTAGTTTATTTAAAATAAATTAATTAAAAAATTAGGGAGATTCGATTCTTGATTTAGAACCGAGAACCAAACTAAACCCATTGGTTCTTAATTTAGATATTCGTTCGGGTATTTAAGTTAAGAAGAACCACTCGGTTCAAGAGTTTTGTCCAACCCTAATTATAGCTCTCTTAATTTGTGAAGAAATGGAATCAAGGATGCGATCTTGATCTTCTCCCACTCTTACGATTATAACTGGATTACTTCCAAATCGAAATAAAACCTCGTTCAGTTTTTACAAAAAGTGCCTTCAAACTCTTGAAAAACAAAGGTTGCCAAGGACTTATGAAATCAAAGCTTCATTAGATGTCCCATCTTTTTCCTAAATTAAAACGTATGGCTGGATTTTGGGAGTCAAAGGCTTCAATATATTCAATGATGAAACTTTCGTGCAGTCCAAGCATTAAGCATAAATGTCAAGCACCCTATACCATATTTATAATCCATTTTTGCTTCTTTATAGGCTATAGAGAAATAAGGAATGTTTCTTTCAAATTATGGGAAAACTTAGTTATAATGCAATTAAAAGAGTATTTTTTATTCCATGAGTCGATTATAAAGTATGTGTTATAATATTGAAAGTTATGAAGACAAAATATATACCCAACATATATGATCAGTTCATAAGTCAAATGAGTCTTAACCGATGCACAAACTATATGACTCAACACGAACAAGTTGAGTCAATTAGTGCATAATACGAAATTTTCTTAAACTTCTCTAAATTACTCACTAACAAAGGATCAAAATTTTTTAATTAATAAAATAAAAACTTAATAAAAAATATGTTTTAAACATATTTTACCAACAATAAATAAAAATAATGTTATATTTTTGTCAAATACCTTTTTTACTAAATACTTTAATAACAACGATTAATTATTGTAATTATTCGCATCAACCAACAAGAAACTGAATAGTATATAATTTCATTTCATAATGATACAAAATACCATAATAAAAATGAACGGACAATAGAGTACAATGCTCAATGACTATCTAATCAACATTGTAAAATCCAGATAATTAACAAGCCATATTACTAAGGTTTGTTCTTTATTCCAACAATTCATATATATAACTTACCATTACAATAGATCGAAGCTAAAAGAATTCCTTATAACTGCATATATGAAATCTTTTAGCATTACTAATTATCATAAGCTCTCGCACATCTGTTGGCCTTGGTGCAGCCACGACGGTATGCATTAGCAATCTGGCGTTTATGACAAATGTTGTAAGAACCGTCGCGTTTGTTGCATCGGAGGTTGTCCTCCCTTAATGCGGCATAGCTAATATAGCGCGATTTATACAGTTGGCGACGGTTGGATTCAGAGCCTAACTTCATCTCATCATCAACATCAGTGGAATGCCTGATATTTTTAAGATTAGGATCAACGGAATTTGTACTGTCATGTCCTGATGATGATTGTATCACCATGACCAAACCTAGGAGAAAAAGAAAAAGTAACACCATACGTGAAGTCATTTTGTGAGAAGCAGTAGTAGCATACACAACAAAGATAAACAAGAAGGGAACCTCTTTCTTATATTTTATTTCCTGAGCCTTGCTCTCCAATAGTATATATAGGGAGCTTTGGTTGTGGAAGCAAAGCTCATGGGAGAGGAGACTTAGCGCAAATGAGCAATGCGCATGAATTTTGTGTTGAAAAACATCAAACATGCAGTCTAGGTTTTTCCTTGACTTTTGTGACAATGTAGAAATCAAAACTTTATGGGTTTGGAAAATAACTGAAGTATTGGAACAAGTGATACCGTGAGAACTAAGTGATATTTAGAAAATCCCTTTAATTCTACCTATATACTATTTTTAAGGTTTTTTTTTTACAACAATTTGATAAAAAAGAAAAAGAAAAGCATATATTATTAATTATTTCATAGTTTATTTCAAATTGTTGTCAAATGATATTTAAGCTTTTCTTTCTCTTTCTATTGACATTTTAATAGTTTTTATTTAAAAGAGAGCTTTGCATTTAGAATAAAAAAAAAAAAAAAACACACATCAGTTATAAAATTGGTAACAACTTGTAGATAAGATTATGAAATATAACTTATTTCTTAAAAAAAATAAATTATAATATGATTGTGAACAACTTGTTTGTTTACAAATAATCAAGTAATGAGCACTGCAAGGCTCTAATCCTTTATGACTTTAATTTTCCTAGTTTCATTATGACCATGTGGTTTCCAACCAAACTCAAGAGCTAACAATACGCATGTATCGATTGATTTAAGCAAAATTATCATTAAAGTTTTTTCAACGTTCATAATTTGTACCAACAAAGAAAGGAGGTCTATGAAGAACTTTTGTGAAAACCATTACCTTGATTTTCAAATCTAATTTAAAAGAAAGTGAACTCGATTTGATATCAAATAAAAGTTCAAAACCTAGATAACTACTATTTAATTAATTTGAATTCTGAACTAATTATTGTCTAGCCATTCGGCGAAATTGGTTCTAACAGTCTAATGAACTACACTGAAATACTAATTAATCGAGCTCATTAATCATGCAATTCATGTATACTCTAATAGTTCAAAGCAGGTTCTATCTAATTCAGGACCTAACGAATTTTGGATTTCCCTAAAACAATAATCCTATATCGCAGTAAAAAGATTAACTCGAGCACAAAATACTCGATATAATATGGTAACCCCAAGGAAACATCCATGTCCTCTATGTCACAAACCTTTTGTTTTTTGGTATTACGATTATTTCTTGATCGCATCAGAGAAACGTAATTTAAAATAAAAACTAAAGAAAAACAAGAGCAACTGAAAATTTCCTATGCTTTAGCTCTCTTAATTCGTTAATAAATGGAAATGCAATCTTAATCTTCTGCACTATTACGATTATATCCGAATTACTCCATAAATCAAAATAATTAAGAATCTCGTGCAATTTTCATACTGAGATGCAACTTCTATAAGATCATTTCATTCCATCAAGCATAAAAAATGTCTGCGAACTTTTGTTTTGCCAAGAATTTATGCAATCGAAGCTTCAATGGCCGTACTCTCCTTTTCCTAGAATAAAACGTACGAGTTGGATTTTGGGAGTTCAAGGCTCCAGTATATTCACTGATGAAACTTTTGTGCAGTCCAGGCATTAAGACAAGATATATACCCAACATATATTATTAGTTCCTAGGTCACATTATAAATGAATTAAAATAATATTCTTTATTCCATGAATCAATTATAAAGTAGGTGTAATAATTTTTGAAAGGTATGAATGCAATATATATACCCAACATATATAATAAGTTCGTAGGTCGCATGAATTATAATCAATGAGCAAACTATTTGACTCAACACGAACAAACTGAATCAACTAATGCATCACACCAAATTTCCTTAAACTTATCCAAATTACTCACTAACAATGGTTCAAATTTATTTAATTAATAAAAAATATGTTGACAACATATTCAACCAAACAATAAATAGATATAATTGTTGGTGATCCGAATGAAACTAAAATTTTGAAAATTTTCCTGAATTCTATCCCTTACACTCATCTTTTATATATTGAGTTTCTCCTTATTTGTCCGTGATTTTTTCTGTCAATGATTTTCACGTATATTTATGAACTCTTGTTATTAATCTTTATTTCCTATTCTCTCGTTTTTGTAACAAATAATATTAATATTTCTTTTTCAAATACCGTTTTCATTGCATACAACAATTAATTAATGTAACTATCGCATCAAGAAGCAAGAAACCAAAGAGTAGATAATTTTAGTTTCTTAATGAAACAACATACAATCATAGACATGATCGGACAATATAAAGTACAATGACCAATGATTTTAACTTTCTAACGCTTTCTGATCAATGTTGGAAAATCCACCTAAGTAACAAACTATATTATTAAAATTTGTTCTTTATTCCAGTAACTCATATATGACTTACCATTACAATGGAGCAAAGCTAAAAGAATTCCGTATAACTATGAACTCTTTTGGCATTACTAGTAATCAATAAGCTCTTGCGCACTTCGAGGCATTGGTACATCCACATCATTGGTAAAAATAAGATGGCAATTGTAGTAAGAACCTTTTGTTGTAATTTTGTTGTTCAAAATCAAAGAGTGGATGAACTTGACAATTAAAAGAAAATGGAAAGATTATGACATAGCTTATGTGGCCGCATAGGCCTTTGAGGCCTGCAGTCGCATGTATGCATTCAGAAACTTAAAAGGCAACCAGGTTATATCTATGCGATTGCATGGCTATAGCATATGCGGTTGCACTCTCTTAAAATCTAGCTGTTGGGTGGATTTTTTTTCGAATTTTCTAGTATTTTTTTTGGTAAAGCATTGCATCTCTTCTTTTTGAGTTTGAACCACTTCGAGTAGAGATGATTGAAAACTATGAATACATGATGGTGTTCATCCCTAAACACATGAAAATTCATCCTATAGTTCATCCTATTATTGAAGAAATCCAGTTTATTTACATAATCAAATTCTCCTTTTTTCACTTGTTCACTTTGAAGAATCACTTTACTTTTGGTGTTTTTCATTAAGGCTTGATAAATTTTACAAACTATTTGCCATTTCAATCCTTAAAAATTTTTGTGGGAGTGGACAAATATCGTTTGAGGACAGCAATTTTTTCGTGTTCAAGTTTTTTTTTCTATTTTACATTAATCTTTTTTATCCTTGTCATCCTCTCCTACATTTCTCTCCATTGCTGTAATTTCCAACACCTTTGCCTTTGTTGCATGGGATGTTCACGACATAGCTATTGTAGCGCAAGTTATACGATTGTCTACTGGTGGATTCAGACCCCAACTTCATCTACTCATTGACCCCAATGGAATGCCCAAAACTTTAGATCGGGATAAACAGAATTTGTATTGTCATGTCCTGATGATGACTGTATCACCATGACCAAGCCTAGGACGAAAAGAAAAGCAACACCGTACATGAAGTCATTTTGTGTGAGGCAATAGTAACATACACAACAAAGATGAAAATAAGGCAACCTTTTCTGATATTTTATTTTCTTAGCCTTGATATATATATATATATATATGGGATTGTGGACGCAAGGGTCATGGGAAGAGTAGACTTAGAGAGCAAATGAGCAATGTGCATGATTTGTCGTTTAAAAACATCCAACATACAATCTAGGTTTTTACTTGACTTTTATTACAATGTAGAAATCAAAACTCTACGGCTTTTCTTTGGAAAATAACTGAAATATTGTAACAAATAATCTCATACGAACTAAGTGACAGATAATTCCTTTAGTTATTCCCCCCACTTCTCTCTCTCTCTCTCTTCTTTTTTTTTTTTCCAGCAATTTTGATAAAAAGCAACTACGATAATGTCATTTTACATTTTTTTCTTTATAGTATATCTCGCTCACGGGAGTTCAAGCAATATGCTTAGTGGAAATTACATGTTTTTCAACTTGACAATGCAAAAATAAGATTTATAAATTTTACATTAAAAAATCAGCGGATAATTCAAATTTTTAATATTAGTAATTATATTATAAAATTAAATTCATATGCATATCCACCTATCCAAAACCCTAATCATTTTCCTATTCTCTTCTCTCTATCCTCTACCTCCTCTCTTCTCTTTCTCTATCCTCTTCCTTCTCTCTTCTATCTCTTTATCTCAGCCATCGAAAACTATCGTCAGATACCATCACAATGGTGATGATTCCATTGTGCGCAGCGTGAGTATCGTTGTTGTAGCCGCAGATGACGGGGAATTTGGAGAAAATTAGGTCACGATCTGTCATCGGAGTTTTGGGGCTGGGATCTGTTGATTGTGTTTGTAGTTGGTGGTGGTCGTGTTGCGTGCTCGTGAGGTGTTGGTGAGGTTGGCGGTGCTTGTGAGGTTGTGGCAGGACTGGTTATCTTATAGTGTGGGCTTTGTTGGTTGTGTTTGCAGTTGGTGGTGGATGGGGTAGGGCAAGGTGGATAGAAGAGTATTGATCAATTATTTGATTGATTATGATCTATAAATTATAATTTGTGAGTGTGTCACCAATTAATTTGATAATTTGTGATCGTAAAATAAATTGCAACTTATAAAATTTTGATTTGTGATCAAGGAATAATATGTTACCTATTAATTTGATAAATTATTATTAATAAAGAAATTACAACTTTTAAAATTTGTGATTTGTGATCGAAAAATAATACGTGATTGATTAATTTGATAATTTGTGATCGAGAAATAAGTTGTAACCCATAAAATTTAAAATTTGTGACATGACATCTATAATTGTAATTAATATGTAACTATGACAAAAAATTATATACTCCGTGACCTTAATTTATTTAGTTAATAAAATGTTTTTAACCAAGACATGGTTTTTGAAATAATAAAACTAATTTCTTAGTTTTGAAATTGTATTTTATTATCACCTTATATTTATATTGCTCCCAAAAGAGGAAATTACACAAGTCCAGGTATTTGAACTTTCAAATTCAAACTTCAGGGGTAAAATTACTTGTGCAAAAATCAAGTATTAAATATATAATTTACCCAATTCAATTAAAAACCCTAAATTATTTCTCCCATTTTCAATTTTCAATCCCCCCTCTCTTCTCACGCCAGCAGAGACGTCATCGCTATGTCTGAAAACTGGTGCCGGTTCCAATGTGTGACCGACGTCGCTGCAAGAGGCGCGACGA